ACTGATATCATACGACTCCTATCGACTACTCATACTTAGATAAGGACAGAAAAAAAACAAACAAGACTTCTTTTTATCAAAAATGGCGACGACTTGCAACGAAGATACTCTTTAGAAGATAAATATTGTTAATGAAAATGATCCAGTAGATTCAATACTATTATTAGAAGATTATTGTGAATTTTATCAGTATCTAGAGCCTTAATTACAAATCCAAAACAAGAAGGAATACCAATGACTTTTTTGTCATGTTCAAGATGGAAAAACTGTTGGTTTTGCTATAGTTTTCTGGTCTTGACTCACATAAAAAGGTGGTCGTTTAGCTGTAATGGAAGATCCTTATGTTGATCAATCATATCAAGGTTAAGATATTGTTGATCTTCTGATTTGTGATTGTGCACGAGAGAATGGTGTATTATGTTTAACATAGCAAACGTCCATGAAAAATCATCGCGCACAAGCTGTTCATAATCGAGATGTGGCACTTTAACTTTAACTTTTACAGTAAAGTTAAAGTACCACCCCTAAACTATACGCTTCCATTGTGAATAATGTTTATTTTTTTACGATTTTTTTTAGTCTTTTGAAAAATTAATTTTAGATAATAATGAAGAATTTGATTGAAGATTTAATTTTATTCTTTCTTATTACACTCATAATTGTGTCACCTTTTATGATATTGTTCACATTTATTCTCTTATCCTATTTCTGGTCTTTACCACTGACATTACTCATTGCTTTGATTTATGGTAGTTGGATGTATATTGATCGCTATACCCCTGTTAGAGGAGGGCGATGGTCGGATCGTTTACGTCAATTATCTATTTGGTCAATAGTTTCTAATTATTTTCCAATAAAATTAATCAAAACTGAAGATCTTGATCCAAATCGAAATTATATCTTTGGTTATCATCCACATGGTGCAGCAACTGTCGGTGCCGGGATCAATTTCCTAACAGAAGCAACACATTTTTCAACTCTGTTTCCTGGTATTCGTCCTCATTTGATGGGTCTTCATTTCAATTTTTTCTGTCCATTTTTACGTGAATTATTTCTTTGCTTGGGTAAGAATAACATTATAAATCCATCATCGAATGTTTTGTTATTCTAGGTGAATGTTCTGTCTCACGAGAGAGTTGCCAGTATTTCTTAAATGGTTCATCTGGTCATGGTAATGCTGTTGTAATTGTGACTGGTAGCATGAAAGAATTGTTTTTAACGGAATATCAAAGGATGATATTCTATTTAAAAAAGAGGAAAGGTTTTATACGATTAGCATTAGAAAATGGGTTAGTGAATATGTAATTAGAATGAATAGAAAAGAAGAAGTTTTGTTTATTAGTGCATCATTAGTGCCGGTTATAACATTTGGAGAAAATGAACATTACCGACAATATAAGAATTGGATTTCAAATCGATGGATTTGGGGACGATCAATCGTTGGTTATTTACCTCTTCGTCATCTTGTAACGACCGTTGGTAAGATAAAACTTTCTTTCTCATTGGACTCGATGGAAAAAAATTATTTTATTCTATTAGTTGGTAAACCGATTCAGGTCAATCAAATCGTTGATCCATCTCAAACAGATATCGATCAACTTCATGATCAATATCTTCAAGCAATTGAACAGCTGTATAATACAAACAAAGCAAACTATGGTTTTGAAAATGTGAAATTAGAGATCATTTAGATAACATCTGGACAATGAAGCTTATTTCTCTTGTTAATCTTAAAGACCTACATTAATCAATCAAACATTAAGTAACTGACACATGCGAGAAGGAGAACATATCTATTAAGCTTATATATCGATGACATAATGTATATTTCAAGCAGAAAATAAAACGAAATCGAGTTATTCAACTATTCCTCGCCCTTTCTTATTCCTTCAGCAAGTTGTTTATACTTATAACAATTTCATACGACATATATCGGTAATAATATTTCACTGCTATTTATTGTACAGAACAGAGATGGACGAGCCGCGGTGTGAAACCGCACCGCCCCGCTCCGTCCAGTTCCGCTGGCGAGACAGTGTAAAAACTTGATGAAGCAGGGCGGTGACTAGACGCTGGCGTGACCAGCTTTATTTGGTCACGGTCATTCACGGTCACGGCAATTCGATTAATGATAATAGTGTAATATCTTTTTGTCGCCTATGTACATATAAAGTATATTGATACACTGAAAAATCCTTCGTCATTTTGTGTTTTTGATTCTCCATTTTTAACATTTTGTGTGGGTGAGTTAGAGCAATTGATGCTAGGCATATACGACAACAGCTTTTCTCTCCGATTCTGATCTTATTTTCGAAAATGATTACAACATCGAAAATTATTTTGTTCATAAATCAGCGACAGCTTAGTGTACGATAGCTAGCTGGGCGAGACACCAAACTCCAATTTCGACTGAGGAGAAATCGGAATGAGATGTTACAATTTCGTGCAGTTCTTTAATATTGAACTCACAGTTTGATGTACTTGACCTTATCATTCTAATCAAAAAATGTTACATAAGAAATAAACAAAAAAAAGTTTTCAAAATATTCTTATCCAACTTCTATTACAATTCTGCAAAAAACAGATGGATTTCGATTGGGACTCAATCGATAAACAGATCAATCTATCTTTTGAACAAAAGACAAGGGTGTGGGTGTGGGTGTGGGTGTGGGTGGGTGTGGGT